GATGGAATCATGGGATGTGAAAATGCATTAATGATCATTGACAACCATGGATGAACACCAGTTGTGTGATGTACTCTGATGAACAATGCACCAATGAGACTGGTTTCTAGGAAGAAGTTAGGAATCTTGAACAACCAATAATATGGACAGGATGGGAATGGGAAAGGGGAGACGAAAGTATTAGGATTGGGGTGGTGGTGGTGGTGGTAAGGCATTACTTCATCTAAATGATTGGTGAGCATAACTTTGTAGGTTCTAGAATTAATGAAGTCCCAACAAGATAGAACATCTCAATGCTGATACTGCTCCATATTTTACTTCATGATTACTTAAGATTTGATAATGTGAATTTCTGGAAGTACCTGCTGTGAGTATGAGCAATGTGCCATTCAAAATCTTTGGTGAAGGGTGCTCACATTGGAGTTTCAGTTTATTTCCTAGGTTAAAAACTCAACCTATTTTGTAATTGCATTGAATTGTTTTCTTTCCTTTCTAAAAGATATTAAAGTTATCCTGAACCTATTGTCTGTAAAAAAAACACTCCTTTTCCCCTTTTCATCTGATGACACATGTTGTTTTCTTGATTTTACTGACTCATGAAACTTCTTTTCTTTTATGCAGGGAAACTAAAGCACTGAGAAAATTTAAAGGGTCTCAAATAAATCATGATGAACCAGTAACGTTGGTAAAGCTAACATGTTTGCATAATATAGTATTTTATCTTGAATGACTTGAGCTTGATGATAAAATGAATGCAATCGGTGTTAGTACTTTTAAAACATGTCCAGATAATTTTTCCTTAAAGCTATCGTATTATCAAAAGGTTTCAAAAATTTGACTGAACATATTTTTTCTAACATTTGCAGCAATTCTTCGAATGGGCTAAGTGCATATGCTTTTTCAGCAAGATGAAACCTGATAATGGTTGCTATAACAACAGTGGCTTAAAGTTTGGCGTTCACATTCAAGTAAGCCCTAGTAGAGTAATCCAATTAGCTCAACCCACAAAGTTTTCAGCTTCCTATTATTTGAATTCACTTTCTTAGGCTTTATATGTGGTACATTTTGTAATTACTAAGGCTTGCAATGTTCAAACCAATTTGTCATATTTTGTGGGAAGATAAGAGACTTTTCTGGTATGTTTATAAATTTTATTAAATCTGAGACAAAGACAAGTTGGAGTCTCACAAGAAGCAGGGCATAAGGGAAAAGGAAACAGGAACAAAGAAGTAAGATTCAAAATTTGCAATTTACGCCTCCATTTTGTGGGGCTTATGGGTAACCACCCATGAAACATGGTTGAGACCTCTTAAACCTTGGTACTGGAGTGGTAGGAAAGAAAGTAGGTGCAGGAGATATTATGCAATCTAGAAGACATAGAACTTGAGGCCTAATTATATATTTGGGTGAATGAACAGTTCATTTCTGCGGTATACAGGTTATGTCTAAAAAGCTCAAAATTAAGCTCCACCTAACATGTCTATTGTACTTGCTTTCTGGCCATCAATTGGCATTGTCATGAAAGGAAACTTAGTTCAATTAGGGGACAGGAATTGCAATCCCATGGTTGTTGGGATTAGGAGCGGGATTGGGAGAGGAATCCAGATTAGGAGTAGAGGATTGTGAAATGCGGAAGATCCCTATGGTTGGAAGAGCCATCCATACAGTGCATTTGTTGGGGATCTAGATCCCCAAATGCTAGGGTATCCCAATTTAGGGATCTTGCCCTCAACCTTAAAGTGCATGTATAGTTTAAGACTATATACGTTTTTTAAAGTAGGGATCCCTTTATTTATAATCAAATAATACAACTATATTAAAAGTATAGTTGTATTGCTAGCTGGCTCAAAACTAAGAAAATCATTAGTTTGGTTGTTCTTTTCGACTTTAAAGTTGGGATTGAGATCCCTAACAATAGGAATCGGGATCCCAAACAGAGGGGATCGAGATCTCAAAATTTAGAAATAGAGATCCCTTTGCCGGAGCGCTGAAGCGATATTGTAGAGTGAAATCACCATGTTTGTTGGGAGATCTCAGCAACTATGGGTAATCGAATTTCTCTGGAATTTTGTTCCTCTCTCTTCAAGAGAAATGACTGTTTTTTGTTTTTGTTTTTTAGGGTTTGGTTTTTTCTGTTTTCTGTTGGGGGGGGCGGAGGGGGGTTGGGTGGCAGGCCAATAAAATAAGGCTGTACCACATGGTTATTGGAAATTTGATCCTAATTGTAGTGCAACTTTGAGATCATCAAACAAAGTAACAATCTCGGAGAAAAGAGATAACAAGGATACACCGTTAATATTAATTTAGGTAGTCAAAATAATCATTTGTTACTTCAAGAGGAAGTTGCTTACAGTCAAAATATGGTACAGTCATGATCTTCATCGAGGACGGATTTCGTGCGACAAATGCCTTCCATTCTTCTCTATCAATCTTACCATCACCATTTGAATCCGCGTCGATGAACGTCTGTGAAGAGTTAACAAAGAAAGCACCAAGCAAGTGACAAAATAGACAACAAACTATTGAAGATGTATTGGGATAGGCATCAAACTACATGCTGATAGATGCTTTTTCTGAGTAAATGTTCAGAAAACCATGGCTAAGACTACAACAATACAAAGTAGTATCACATAACAATATCTGGTCATTGGCCAAAGATTTGCACCTTATCAACGATGGCTTCAATAATGTCATCTGATAGACTCATGTCTGATTCATTAAGAAGAGCCAGTACCATTTCTTTGACCTGAACAATAAATGACTTTCACAAAGAGAATATCACATACTTTTGAGTAAATCACATATTAAATTCAATACAAAAGCAAACAAACCATCAATATTAGATTTCGAGATGTGTAAACAGAAAAGATTGTTGTTAGTGACTCTAGCATGCTGCCCTGTCTCTCCCACACGTTGCAAATTCAGAATGCCAGGCATAAGGGGTGTTTTGCAGCATTAGGGCTCCAACTTCCTGGTAAAAAATCTTATTCTCTCTCATCTATTCCCTGTTTCTGTTAGTTTCCCTGATGATATATCTCTGATTTATCAGTGCGATGATCTGTTTCGGTAGATTTTGTTGGTGTTCGTTTTCTTGATTGGGGTTGTTTATTTATCTTTCTTTTTTCTACAATTATTGGTGATTATTGTTGGTGTTTGGTGGATTTTGGAGTTGGTTATGATTTTCTAATGTGAAACGTAGAGAAATAAAGTAGAATTAAGAGACTGTGATTTGGGGAGAGAGAAAGAAGGAGAGAATGTAACTTGGAATTATGGCTGCTTTGATAGAGAGGTGTGAGTGTGCTGTTTGCGGTACTAGCGGTAAGATATCGAAGATGGTTTTTGATAAATTATAGTGATTGATAAGTCTTTTGAAAAAAAAAAAAAAGAAGGATTTTTTTTGAGATTAGGTTTTAGATCAAGACAAAAAACTTGATAAATTATATTTTATTTAAATTATAATGATTACTTTTTTGAAAAAAAAACAAAAATTTTTTTGAGATTAGGATTTAGATACAAACATGATAAATTACTTAGAATATATTAACTGTATTGTTTTTTTTCACATTGGCCCTATCTAGTATCTCAATCTAATTTTTAAAATACTTTATCATTTTACAATAATTTTTTTTAAAAAAAATACATCAACATTTACTATTTAAACTACAAATTAACAACAGGTTGTGGGAGCACATTGCACTTTTAGTACCTCTAAACAGGTCTTTTATTCGAAGGAGTAAGTGTACAATGTGCTCCTAGGCATTTACTATTTCTAGGAACCAATGGGTTCCGACACTATTATTATTATTTTATTTTTTTTTTATACGATTCTTTTCAAAATTTTACAGGGCACGTTTCGTTGGTTGGATATTTATACATGTAAACACCTAGGAGGAAAAACTTTTGCAAACTTTGTTTGAAAAGGCATTGTGGAATGAGTTCCATATCTTTGGTTTAACTTACTTGTTTGTTATTTAAATATATTTTGTAAATGTATTAAATCTAAAAAATATTTAAATATTATAATTAAGAATATAGTTATATTTATTTAAATATTATTTAAATATTATTTAAATATTATTAAATTATTATATATTAAATATTATTTTTGTAGTAAATGCAGAATATTATATAAAATTCTATTATAAATATCTATTATATAAATAAATAAAAATATATATTATATTACGTAAATATACATTATATTATAATTTAATGTAAATATTATATGTTATATATATATTATAAAAAAAAAAACTTATACAAGTAAGAAGCTTTTAACAATCAAATTAGAGCGCACCTTAAATATTTCACTAGAAGAGGTTGTTTAGTTGCTCAAATATCCTCAAATTGATCATCTCAACCTCAAGATGCACAGACATGAGAAAAAATAGATTTCAAGTTTTGGAAATGCGCATATTGTAATACATTTTTGGACCATCAATTTTCAAATTTTTATGGAAATGCTCTATCTACACTGTTTTCTAAGCTTTAAAGTTTACAATTAGAAATGAAAATATATTTTACGAGTATCACAAAGATTTCTAGTATTGAAACTATATTTCTCGACACTATTTGAAGGTGCACTTTACTTTGATTGTTTAGAGCCCCCGGCTCTATACAAACCACACCCTATAATAAATATATATTATATTTAATAATAATATAACAATATGATATAATATATTTTATATTTATTTTGTTAATATATATCCGTATTATATATATATATTTATATTTATATTTATATATATATAGTATTTAATAAATAAATAAAATATATTATATTATAAATAGTGAACAGTGGGTCCGCATGTGAAAATAAAAACACGGGGAATGTTTCGCAACTTCAAGAGGTGATGTTTTGTTTTATCATGAATTAGACCATTTCATAGATAAATGTTTTTACCATGGATTTAATTTGTATTTGCATTATACACCAAACAAACGTATGAAGGCAATTTTCATGTGAAAATATTTTTCGAAAAACGTTTACACACGAACCAAAAAGCAGATTTTATCCTAGTTTGTTGTGTATTTCTCAAAAAATTTGTCTTGACTCTTGAGATATGAATTAGCTGTTAATATTTTGCCCATTTTATTCCACAACAAGGCTTCCTCTAACATAGAGAGCGCCTTATTCATGATCCTGTGACCAAGTAGTCAGTAAGGAATATGCTTTCTCCTCTAAACCGAACGAGTGAGACAAGGAGCCTAAGTTATTGAGACGGCAGCGCTAGTATTTTACGAGGACATTACAAGGCACAAGCGAAGATTAAATTTGTTAAAGGCCAATGAGAAAGGACAAAGCATACATTTCTTTTATAAGTTTCATTAAGAAGCCCCCTTTGAAGGAGGAGATCAAACCTAGGCTGTCTCAAATTGCTCATTTTAGGGGTGAGAGGTGGTCATCTCCAACGATTAAATGTCTACGCTGAGGTAATATTTGGTTTTCTTTCCTTCTTTCTTGAGATTGTTTTGTGGACGGTGGAGGTAGATCCTCATCCAATCAGGTTTCTTTTTTTTTTGTTTAGGTCTTTGTCTTGTGATATTCCTCTCATGATATATTGGGGGTAAGGGTCCCAATGGGCTGGGCCAGGGCTAGCTTGGGCTTATTAGGGCTAGTCCGAACAAAGCCAAAAACAAATGAAAAAATAATAAAAGAAAAATTGGTAAGATAGTCTCATTTCAGCATGTGTATAGAGAACGGTAGTAGATGATTTGGCTAAAAAAGAGGCTCAATTTGTTGAAATTGGTAGTTGTTGAAGAATTTATTTTTTTTACTTTTCTTTTTTATGTAAGTCTATAACATCTTTTAGTGATTAATGAAGTTATTGTACTCTTGTCAAAAAAAAAAAAGAATAAAATAAATAAAAGACCAAGTTGGGCCAAACTGGGTTGAAGGTGGCCCTAGCCTAGCCCTCGGGCCATATTTTGTGGTCCTGGCCCAAGCCCTAAGGACGGACCTCCCACCCCATTAGTCTAGAGATACGTGATTGTGATCTCTTCGAATATTTCAGATTTATTGCTTCTTCATTTTGGAGCTGCATCTCAAACCTGCATCTTGCTTACATTAATTTTTTAAAGGAAAGTATAGAATGATACTATTTACCTTTGATACAAGATGGTCACATTAATCTTGACCCTTGGATGTGAAATTGGTTGGCTGCAATTATTCCATTGATCAAGCTCAAACTTCAAAAGAAATTTTTTCAAACTCTGTTACACATCCAAGATATCAAATTTTATATCAAATGGTTGTAAGGAATTGTAATCACCTTGTATCAAAGATAAATGGTTTCATTGTATACAATCCTTTTTCTTAAAAATAAACTAGGGTCGAACCCACATGCTCAAGGTTGCAACTTGCAACAAGAAGCACCATCTTCCAAATAGTGCCATGGCCTAGAGTTCATGCTTTAGATCTTACATACCATATACTAAACATTTCCTTCACTTGTTTCTCATCAGGCTGGGTGCCAAGGTAACCATAATCACAGGTGCTGCCAGCGGCATCAGTGAGGCTGCTGCAAGGCTATTTGTAAAAAACGGAGCCCGTGTTGTAAGTGTTGTAATTGCCGACGTCCAAGACAAGCTCGGTCACGATGTAGTATCCTCCATAGGTGAAAACCACTCTAGTTACAGACATTGTGATGTGACAGATGAGAACCAAGTGAAAGAAACTATAGATTTCACTTTGTCTAAATATGGTGGCCTGGACATAATGTTTAGTAATGCCGGGTTCCTCGGCCAGATCATGAGCATCATGGACATGGACATGGGTGAGCTAGATACAATAATGGCCATCAATCTAAGGGGGGCAGCCTCCACGATGAAGCATGCATCTCGAGCAATGGTTGAGAGGGGTGTTCGTGGCTCGATTATATGCACCACTAGTGTGTCGGATTCTTTAGGAGGCCTTGCTCCTCACTCGTACACAGCATCGAAGCATGCATTGTTGGGGCTCGTGCGCTCAGCCTCGAGTGAGCTCGGAAAACATGGTATTAGGGTAAATTGTGTTTCCCCTTATGGGGTGGCCACTTCCTTGGCTTGTGGCCTTACTGGTGTGAGTTCTGATGAGATGGAAGCAATGACTAGTGCTGTATCCAACCTGAAGGGGATCATCCTTAAGCCTAGGCACATTGCTGAAGCGGCTATTTTCCTTGCATCGGATGAGTCAGCTCTTGTCAGTGGGCATAATTTGGTTGTTGATGGGGGATTTTCTGTTGTAAATCATAGTTTTCCTCTATTTAGGTGATTTTTTTTTTGGCAAATCAACGGGGAGAGGGCCTTGACCCTTGGTAAGAATTGAGCCTAGGACGTAGCGTTTCAAATCGTCAAATACTAACCAATTAAACCCGAGCTCTTTTCCTTATATATAGGTAAATTAACTCGTTATTGTTTGGCCTCTTTTTTCTTTTGTTTTTTCTCCTCCCTTCTTCTATGTTTGTGATGTTAAGAGGGGGTCTGGGAAAGGAATCTTCTTCGTAGTTTGGTGAGGATGAATGGACCCATTTTACCCACCAATGTTATTTGTAGTATTTATTTTATATAAGATATCAACTTTATATATTGTAGAAGTGATGCATATCTCAAAAACAGATTGGAGAAGGTCATTTTGATATTAAAAAACTCTTCAATTGATTATCTTGATCTCAAAATGTAAAGATATGGGGAAAAAAAAAAAAGAAGAAGAAAAAGATTTCACATCTTAAAAATGGAGCATCTTGAAACATATTATTCAGGCTGCCCATTTTCGAGATTTCTAGATATTTATAGATCTTTCTAATTTACGCCATTTTTGGAGTTTTAAATTTCATTATTAGGGAAAAAAAAGATTTTCAAATTATCATAGGACTTCCTAGCATCGTATTTACATGAAGGGTTTGGGGATGCGCCTTTCATTAATGGGTGTGGTTCCTATAAAGTTGCAACGTTAAACAATCCAATTAAGGTGCACATCCAAATTGTATCATAACATGTAATTTTGGTGTAAAAAATTCTTAGGATTATCTAAAAATCTATTTTGGTATCTAATTATAAAATTTTAAACTCCAAAAATAGTTAAAATCAAGTCGATTTATAAACATATGAAAATCTTGAAAATGGACAGCGTTGATAATGTGTTACGAGTTGTACTATTTTTGGAACTCAAATTTTTTTTTTTTTCATTTTGATGCATCAATTAGAGGGTTTTTAAGCTTAAAACAACTTCTTCTTATGGATTTTTGAAGTGCATTTTTAATTCCACATTTTAAGGTTACAACCTCATATAAACTTTTTCCTTCATTAATTGTTTATGGTGGGCACTTTATCTCAACCGTACCCTTATGTTTTTAGCCAAAAAAATTTATTGTCTTTGTGGAAGCAGTTGGATTCATATCCTCCTTCGAGTAAAACCGTAAGAGCAATGATTTCATGCAACCGTTGTATAGTAATATGATGCAACAACATTAAAAAACCATCTTTTAGCCATTTGTTTGCTCCAAATTTTGAAATATACAATCTTTTCATTCTAATGAACAATCACAAAAAAAGAAAAAGTTGAAAACAATACCTAGAAAATATTTTTTTAGCCCAATTAACATAGGCCGTTCATTTTAGTGAGATGCTTAGATCTAGGCCTTAGAAAAGATTTTTTCATTTCCAAATTTTTTGGATAGTTTTATTATCATTAGATGAACAATGTTTAAAAATAAAAAATTGTTTTTTAGTTTATAAAGGCTATGATCTTGAAATTCACAAAATGAATGGTCTAGATTTGTTTTTGGAAGGGATTCATTTTGACAATATCTAAGGTTCAAATTAAACCTTGTTTTTTTTGTGGATTGATTATTGAGATGAAAAGAGTGTATGTGCAAAATTTGGGGTCATACAAATACCACAAACAGAGTTTTCTATAAGTGTCGTTGCATTATACAATGATACAACCGTTGCCTTGGATCATTGCTCAAACCATAAAACCAAAAAGAATTTCATACTTCATGTGTGCTTAAAAATATAGCATCCTATGACTAAAATATTGAATTAAGACCATCCAAATTTTGGATTGCTAGATTTCAGTTGTTTCTATATTTTGACAGCCAATTCCCAAAGGGTAAGACTGTCAGGCATATTTGGTTCGCGTAAAAATATTTTCTAGCACATAAAAAAAATCTCTCATGCAGTCAAGTGTAGAAATATTTGAAAGAAAGACGAATGTAATTATTGTCGGGGAATATATATATATATATATATATATATATATATATGTATTATTTTATTTTATTTTTTATCACCCCTTTTCTTTTGACAAAGATCACTTATAAATAGTCTTATTATAATAACTCTGCTTCAAAGAAAATAAAACCAATAAATCCAAGATCTTAAAACATTGATATCATTAAACCAATGTTCTTTTAAACAAAGAAAATAACCACTACTTCTTATTCTTGGGAATCATTGTTAGAAAAACAGGGCAATCCAACCCCCGGTTAGATCGGACCTTGCCAGTTCCGGTTTCTGGTGGTTTTGGTGATCTGACGATATTTTAAAAATAAAAATTCAAAAAAAATGTATATAAAATCTCAAAAATAAGGAATTTGATTCGTAAAACATTTTTTAATATGTTTTACATTATGGTAAATATTCAAAATTGTTTTGATCATTAATACTCACTTTTAAAATCCATTTTTCATTAATTTTCGACTTCATTTGAATGTGTTTTGTTTTAATCATTATTATATGCTTTTCATATTTTAGTAGATTTTTTTTCATCTTTTTATTTTTCTTAACAATTTTTTGGCCGCTTGGTACTTGCCCGATTAGAATGGTTGAATCGGTCGGTTTACCAGTTAGGCCAGTTAAATCGCTTCCGACCCTATGTCCGGTTAACCGTTCCGCTTCGATTTTGCGAACACTGTTGGGAATGGAAAGACAATAAAATTAAATATGCAAGAAACAAAAAATGAATGTCGAAGATTAACTCCACACCAAGTCATCATCATCCGATAGCGTGAGATTAACGAATAACCTTCAATCTCAACCAGGAAAGCAAAACTTAGGTACAAGACTGCCTAACCCTTAAGTTCTTCTAAGCAAAATGAGAGAGATAATACTATCTAGGTGGGGCGTGCCCCTTAGGTCAACCTAGAGAGAGATAGTCCAAGAGATGGGGCGTGCCCCTTACTATAGGCTAGAGAGAGAGAGCTTCTAAGGTTGGGGGGTACCCCCTAAATTTACCAAAGAGATAGAGATAGAGATATATATATATATATATATAGAGAGAGAAGAGAGATTTTAATGTAGAGATTTATGGACAAGAGGTCCTCTATTTATAGTGCAAAAATAGTATTAGGGTTTTTTAGGGTTTTTTATGGCTTGCCTCTTCTTATGAGATTGAACATCAATCATTGATATTAGGTAATTTGCGAGGTGAAAGATTTGAGCCCTCAATTCTATAGATGGGTCATCAACATCATGAAATGTGCTAGAACCTCTATCTCATTTCCTAAACCATTTTTATATCAATAAAAATTAAATAAAATAATTTCAAATATACTAATATACACACCAAAATAATGCACAAGTCTTCTCACGGTTTCCAAAATTCCATTCAAAGCTTCCTCAAGCCAATACATTTCCAAAACACATACAAACTTGACCTTCGAGCCAAAGTCACTTATCATAAAAAAATAGAAAGCTCTTAAATGGGCGGGGTGTGTCACCCATAAGAAGATCTCATGGACCCACCATCTAGGCCATGGCCCATGTACACAATGGGCCCCCGTGCAATTTTAAATATTTTTAAAACTCAGTAAAAAGATTTTTAGAATTTATTTGGATATTTAAATTAATGTAAAATCAATATTTCTGTTTTTATAAACCCAAATTTGATAAATAAAATATCTAGAGATCTAAAAAAATTTAAATAATAATTCTAGAATAATATATATCATAAAACAAACATAATAAAATTCATTAGATGGAAAAATGATCTATATGGTCTAGAAATTAAATCAATAAAACACTGGGGTACTCCACCTTCAACTGTGGACTCCGGACCACACATGCTTTATCAAATTGACCCAGTGTTTTCCAACCCACAGTCCATGCAGGGGCTCATTAGTGGGTCACCAAAGTCTGGCCAATGAGCCAAGGGATTGTAATGTCAGTTTGTGGATTTCAAGTTCTCCCCTAGAGATGTACCAAGGTCACCTAAACCTGATGCGACCACAGCTCCTATGACATATAAAAGTATTTCTCGCACATATATAAGTTTTACCCTGAAAGGTGGTTCACTTTCCAAACAGCTCCTATGACATATAGAGGTATTTTTCGCACATGCATAAGCTTCACCCTGAAAGGTGGTTCACTTTCCCAAAACGACTATCATATATGCATGTTGTGTGATGGTACTTAGATGAGGCTTTGGCCCCCTTCTCTGAAGGCCGCCATCACACACAAGGGTCACACAGTTCGTCGGCTCACTCCTCTAGGTATACTCCGACCTCATCAAGGGATGACCTATTAAAACCCTTATCAAATAGTTTTATATGCCCAGGTAACATAGGTTTTTTCCAACCGCCTGGCCTAGTTCGTAAACCTCACGGTATCAACAAATGTTATTTGTTTAGCATAGTCCATGAGAGACCACACTCCCACTAAATTCATGTTCCATGATATCAAACTTTTTTATTACAAATGCTCATAATGCCTTTAATGGTCACATTCACTCAACAATACTTTTACATGAAAAAATTCTCTCTAATCCCCCTCTCCGCCTTCTTACTCCTTTCTCACTTATTAGAATCATGCATAGAGCATGACCACCCCCATTTGAAACCGCCAATTCTCTCTCTGTCTCAACCCATTAGTCTAATCCCACATCCAATCCCAAATCTCAACAACTTTCTCTCTTTCTTTACCCCAAATTCAATTTACTCGATCATTCTCTCTTGCATAACCTCCTTTAAAGACCATAAAATATAATCCTCTTGTACAAACCAAGTTATTATTGATCCGGGATTGTACACTATGAAACTATTTATCTTTGACACAAGGAGGATTAAAATTACTACTAGCCATTAGATGTCAAATTGGAAAATTTTGGTGCGTTACCAAGTTTAAGTTTTTTTTTGTTTTGGATCTTGTGTCTAATCAATAACAATTCATAATCACCCAATTTAAATTTTGACAAACAAAAATATTTGTGATTTTCTTGTACTCGAAAAATACATTCTTTTATGTACTTTTCTTGAAGGTGGTGTTTTGAGGTGGGTAGAGAGAGAAAGCAGGTTTGGAGAAGATGGGTCTTTGCGTATTTAATTAGGGGAAGAGAGAAAAACGGGTTTAGAGAACCAGGAGTAAGGCAAGGCTC